TAGCAGTATAGAGAAATCTGCTAGAAGTGTAAAGGACGGAACACCAAAACAAACACGAAAAGACCTGTACACGTATTTGTTTACATCACTATTTCGTCATTATCAATTTGTACAGAGAGCTTACGTGATATGTTCTCCAATTTGGTAGGTGTATTTTCAATTTGGGTTAGGTAAACATTGCTGATCATTTTGAATGTGTGAGCTACATCGCCACTTTTTGTGAAAAAAACACTAAAAGTAAAACAATGAAGAGAAAGACTGTATAGTAGAGGTACTAATAGTAAAGATTTGTAGGAGTATACATTATATAGAATAATATATTCTACTAAGTTTATACTCTTGCTATTGCTTGAATATAACTTGACAAATACTTCCTTGGTTGTTGCCAAAGCTATTTTTTCGATAACTCTGTAGACTTCTACTAGAGAGCTAAACCTATAAGGAGCAGTCTTTTTCAACTCTGTTTCATATTGCCTACATGCAATCTGAAGCTCTTGATTCTAGTTGCTACTTAGTGAAGTTTTGTTGTGTAAAAATATACTAACTATATAATATTCATAGGTCAGCATTTTGTAAAAATATTGGTATGAAGGATCGTTAGAAAGAGTTATCCTTCTAATAGGTCTTGTTTGATTAAAATACTTTCTACAGATTGTATAATTGCATTTTTCAGAAAATCAGCTACTATTTCTACTTTAACTTCTTGTAATAGTCTGAAATTAATAACTAATTCTTTTTCTTCTAAGTATGCTGATATAGATGCTTTAAAAAGCTATCAAAAATTAGATGATTTTCTAGAAGAGAAAGAGGTTAAAAAAATTGAATTTATATATAGAGAACTTGATCAGTTATATAATAAATCTAAGAGAAGAGGATAAGGTTCTGATAAAAAAAAATCAGGTGATTAATGATACAGCCCTTAAATAAGATATTTTTTTCTACTTTGAATATATCTACAATCTGATACTAATCTTTAGTTTCAAAGTTTAATTCGCAAATATTGTTGTTAAAATTTTCTTTATCATATTATTTGTATTTGTAAAAAGTTTCTATTTTCTCTTCTAATATTAATATTTTTCTTCAGTACTCTGCAATTATATCTTTTTCAGTTTTTTTGATAATTTTGCCTATATGTTATTTATAATCCTTCACAAACAGAAACTATTCTTTTTTTCTTCTATCTTGCAAGATCTTACTTAGTGCAACTTTGATTAACCTCTTGTTTTTACTATATGTTTGATATATATCTAGTACTTCTCTATTACTGTTTTTGTTTTGGTACATTTTGCTCAAGTTTGAAGAACTATCCTAGTATACATTCTTTTTTTTTTGTAGGCTCATATGTATTTAATTTGTTGTCAGGTTAAAAATATCTTTTCAGTATTATTCATTAGTTGTTCAAGTGTAAAAAGATTTATTCTGTCAGTAGTTGCAAAAGAAAGAACTTTTTTTTTTTCTAACAGACTAATAATTTCAGTTTCTGCATTATCTAGATTTATCTTATATTATATATAGACAGTTAATATAATCTAATAAAACATAACATATATGCATTTGTGATAATAATAAATACTGTAAGAAAAAACAATATATCTATTTTTTATATTATTTTTCAAGGTTTTCTCATACTACAAAATTTAATATTGAAAAAATGCTAGAAATACTAGAAAAGGTGGATCTCCTTTAGTATAGGTGGGCACGCTCCCCTAAGGGTGATCTTTAGTGAAGGTGGGCAAACTTCGATGAATATCGCATAGTTAAATAAAATTAAATAAACTAACTTATGCTAACCGAAATTAAATATTTAAATATTTAACTCATGTG